CTTCCTTCCACAGGCCGATGCTCAATCCACTGAGCCAAACTGGCTAGGCCTTTTTTCTTTCTTTTTAAATAGCAGGCCTGAGTATGAAGTACTAGAAATGCATATTTAGAGTCAATGTAAATATGATTCTTTTTCCTTTTCCTAATTTAAGGGCTTTTGTTAGGGGTGTTAGTTTAGCTGGCTGGGCAGAAGTCCCGGGGGAGGGGGGGGGGGGAGGCTCGAGCCTCAGCGACCTGTTGAGATGTGACAATTGCCAATTGTGTAACCAGCCGAGTACATCCCGTTCCTGATGAAACTATTTTTATTAGAGAGCCGGACCTCGTCCACCTTGTCTGGTGGCTGGTCCTCCCAGTCTCTCCTGCGGCATAGGTTTGACTGATAATTTTGTTGTAGGAATGGGGGGTCTCATTCTCTCCTGAGGGGCGGATATTCGGGTAGTTGCAATCAGAGTGGAGTAGTGCTTTATCCTGGCTTGGGGGTTTTTAAATATTAAAATTTGGTATTTTAGTATTTTGCTGTAAGTCAGTAGGGATCCTATGTTTTGTATGGGAGTTTATCTGGTGGGAGGAATAAAGGGGGATTTTTGTCTACAAGTAATTTTGGAGGCCTCCTCTGCTACGGCGCAGTTGCTATAATTATTTTAAGGCAATGAGGCCATCCCCGGGGCATGGAGCCTAAGTTTTTGGAGAGGTTCCCAATAGGTTATTTTATGGGCCCTAGATTTGGGGTTAGAATCCCTACCGCTACCCCCTGCTTTTTAGTTGGAAAGGCTTTTGGGGTTTAGTTGCCCAAGAGCAGGCGCCTTTATTAGAGCTGCCTGTAATGGGGTCTGTTTTTGTTTCTCATTTTAGGGCAGAGGAATTTGCCCAGGTTCTGATCTGAGAGCCTGATAGAGAGGCTTTGCTATTTTCCCATGCCCTGGGATCCCGAGTCTGCAGTGACCCGTCAGCCCGGGAAAACTCGGAACTGTTCTTGGGATCTGGAATTTGCTATATGTCCTGTATTCTTTTTGGAGACAATTTCCAATTAATAATTCTTAGAAGCCTCAATCCTCAATACCCCAGACAAGCAAACAACCAGCGTTTCTTAGATTGACACCCATGAATATGTTTTAAACATATTAGTTTCAAAGCACACTTCCCACAGAGCAAAAGACATTATAACAACTTCAAATCCACCTTGCAGACTTTTTGCAGTGTAGGTAAAAGCAAGCGATCCAGCAATCAAAGTTGTAATGAGTTAACTTGATCTGCACACATGGCTAAGTTTTCCCCAGAAACTTGTACTTTAATATAAATATATAGATAGATAGATAGATAGATAGATAGATAGATAGATAGATATATTGGGTCGGCAACTAAGTAATTAATTTTCTTTTTTAAAGAAAATCAAAGACAATTTTTTCATGGAACTAAATAACTTTATTCTGTAATGTATTGCCCATTTTGATCAATGACCTTTTGCCATCTTTCAGGCAGCATCATAATCCCACGTTCAAAAAACTTCTGGTTTTTATTAGCAAAAAACTGAATCAGGTACAATTTGACATCATCATCATTATTGAAATTTTTACCATTCAAGGAGTTTTGTAAAGATCGAAACAAAAAGTAATAGATGGTGCAAGGTCAGGACTATATGGTGGATGTGGCAAAACATCCCAACCAAGCTCCATTAATTTTTGCCGAGTGACCAAAGATGTGTGTGACCTTGCATTGTCATGATGGAATACAACACCTTTTCGATTTGTCAATTCGGGCCGCTTTTCTTCAACTGCATTGTTTAATTTCATTAGTTGTTCAATGTAGACATCAGAACTGATCGTTCGGTTGGGTGGTAAGAGTTCAAAGTAGACAATTCCTTTGTAATCCCACCAAACTGATAACAAAACCTTCTTTTGATGAATATCAGCTTTTGATGTTGTTTGAGTTGGTTCACCTGGCCTGCTCCACGATCTTTTCCGCTTGATATTGTTGTAAACAACCCATTTTTCATCGCCAGTTATCAGTCGTTTTAAAAATGGATCATTTTCATTACGTTTCTTTAGCAAATCGCAGCTGCTAATGCGTTGCGTTAACTGTGATTCTTTCAGTTCGTGAGGAACCCATGTATCGAGTTTTTGAACATAGCCAAGTTGTTTTAAGTGATTTTCAATGCATGTATGTGATACATGAAGCTTCTCTGCAATCTCACGTGTTGTACTGTGACAGTCCGAATTGATTATTGCTTTGATTAGGGCGTCATCAACTTCAACTGGACGACCAGAGCGTTTTTCATCTTTGAGTGAAAAATCACCAGAACGAAATTTGGCAAACCAATTTTGACACTGCCGTTCTTTTAAGGCTTCGTCACCATAAACAGCACATAACTTTTTATGAGCTTGCGATGCGTTTTTCCCTTTGCGGAAATAAAAAAGCAAAATATGACGAAAATGTTCCTTTTGATTTTCCATTTTTCAACGAACGCCAAACGAAAACTACAAAACAGATCAAAAAACTTTTTTTACTGATTAACAGCTGAATAGCCAACTATCAAATAACAAAATGTGTTTTACATTTGTACTACATCTGCAAACCTAAAAATTCAACTGAAGCCATATATGTGTGAAACCCGCAATTACTTAGCTGCCGACCCAATAGATATATATATATATATATCTATATATATCTATATATATATATATATATATATATATATATATATATATATATATATATTTATTTTTTTTTTTTTTTTACAGAGAGCAAGGGAGAGGGGAACAGAGTTAGAAACATCAATGAGAGTTTAAAACCGGTTTGGTTTTAAAATCGGTGATTCTCACCGGGACCGGTTTGGCTCAGTGGATAGAGCGTCGGCCTGCAGACTGAAGGGTCCCGGGTTCGATTCCGGTCAAGGGCATGTACCTTGGTTGCGGGCACATCCCCAGTGGGGGGTGTGCAGGAGGCAGCTGATCGATATTTCTCTCTCATTGACATTTCTAACTCTCTGTCCCTCTCAATTCCTCTCTGTATAAAATCAATAAAATATATTTAAAAAATAAATAAAATAAAATCGATGATTCTCTCTCATTGATGTTTCTAACTCTCTATCCCTCTCTCTTCCTCTCTGTAAAAAATCAATTAAAAATGTTAAAAAAAAAAAAAAAGAAAAGAAAAAAGAAAGAAAGAAAGAAAAAAAGAAAGAAAGAAAGAAAAGAAACATTGATCAGCTATCTCCTGCACACCCCCTACTGAGGATGTGCCTTCAACCAAGGTACACACCCTTGACCGAAATCGAACCTGGGACCCTTCAGTCCATAGGCAGACGCTCTGTCCACTGAGCCAAACCGTTTGGGGTGAAACTCATACTTTTATTAAAGATGGCCAGACTAGAGTTTTGACCAGGTACTTGCATTTCAAAGATCATAGGGACCACGGGAGAGCACTGTTATAAATCCAAACCTTGCAGTCCTCCTTCATCCTGTTTGGTGATCTGCCGCCCTAATGTATGGGAAATGCCTGATCTACCGCTCCATCCTACTCCAAATCCTCGCCAGCACGTGGTGTGGTGTGAACACCGGGGCAGGCTGTGCCCCTCAGGCAAGGACATTCCCTCCCTGACTCTCCTAACATTCCACTGAAGGCCCGAATCCCCTCTGATCCCCACAGGACCACTGTAAGGAGCTGGAAGAAATCAGGCCTGTGAGGGTCAAGTCCAAGGAGGCATTGAGCTCACGTATGGTTGGGTCCGTCTGGGGGAGGGGACACCAAGAATGGCACATCAGCTGAAACCGGTTTGGCTCAGTGGTAGAGCATCGGTCTGTGGACTGAAGGGTCCCAGGTTCAATTCCGATCAAGGGCATGTACTTTGGTTGTGGGCACATCCCCAGTGGGGGCGGGAGGGGGGGTGCAAGAGGAGGCTGGTTGATGTTTCTCTCTCATCGTTTCTAGCTCTCTATCCCTCTCCCTTCCTCTCTGTGGAAAAAAATAAATAAATAAAAATAAAAAAAAAAGAATGACACATCAGCCAGCCTGGGCCAGGATCTGAAGAACTTAGCGCCCCTCTACCCTCAACCTCAAGCAGGAGGAGGAAAAAGGAAGCAAAGTTTGAGCAGATCTCAGTGATAGAAATCCTAACATTTTGACGTCTGCATCCCTTGCCCATGGGTTGTTTTGATTTTCTGAGTGAAACCCAGTGACCTTTGGGCAGTTGGCAAAGGCATCAGAGTGTTGGGAGAGGAGCCTTGAAGGGGGGCCTGGCCTCAGTAAGATTTTCTCACAGAGATTCTCTCTAGTTTTCTACAGCAAAGAATTCATCTCGCCAGCCTCTCGATGCCACATGGATGTGCGTCTCAAATGGTGTCCTGGGTCAGCGTTTCAGCTGTGGGGTTAGGGGGAGAATATGGAGGGTGGACATCAGTGATACAGAGCTAATGTGAACGTTCTGGGGTAGACGTTTTCAAATGCTATTTCAGGTAACCTGGGGGTACAAAAGGGCCAGCCACAGAAGGAGTGGGGGATGAACAACATAAACTGATGAACAAAAATAGAGCCAGAGTCATAGATGTAATACATAGACCATCATAGACCATCCAACCTCAGAGGGAAGGCAAGGGAAGGTGGGAGGAAAGGATAAGAGATCAACCAAAGGACATGTATGCATGCATCTGAGGGCACGTGCTGGGGGGTGGGAGCAGCTGGGGAGAGGTCATTGGGGGAAAAAGGAAACTTAAGTAACACTTTAAACAATAAAGGATTTAAATTATTTAATTAAGAGTGAAGGGACTTTCTCTAATTAATGGGATTTTCAAAGAGGCTTTAATTCCTACTATCACTCGAGATTCTAGATGATTCCTGCCCAGAGAACTCTCTATCTTCACATCGCAGTACTGTGCAAAACACTGCAGCAAAGCCTGCAGTTTATACTAAAGAGTGAGTGACTAATACGTAGAATCTTGATAATGAGGCAATTATAGAGATAAGGAGGCCAGTGGATGCCTCTATGGGGGAGACTGGGCAGCAGTCACTGAGGAGATAGGATTTCTCTCGTTCCCACTCTATGCTCGACTTCCTCTGCAACCATGTCTGACAAATCCAATATGGCAGAGATTGAGAAATTCGAAAAGTCAAAATTGAAGAAGACAGGAACGCAAGAAAAAAACACACTGCCTTCAAAAGACACGATTGAACAGGAGAAGCTAGCAGGCAGGAGCCGCCAAGATGCACTGTGTATTCCACAAGTATTGCCTTCTAATTTTACTTCTTTTAGCTGTTTAACTTTGTAAGACGCGAAGAGGTTGGATCAGTTTAAATGACTGCGCTGCCCCTTTTCACATCAGCACTACCGACTACTGCGCCTGCCGTTCCCCTCTGCCTGGCTGGCTGGCGGGGAAGGGGGGAACTTGCATGTGGGTGAAGGAACGAGCTGGGTGGGAAGAGGATGAAATCTAGAGTAAACACCAAACTGGTCCAAGGGGTTCTGCGGGCTGTAAAATGCAGTTTAATCAGGGTGCCATTTTTTTGTTAAAATTATTTTAATTATTGGAATGCACAATTTTTGAATATGCAAATAAAAAATTTTAAAACGTGGGGGAGTGGGGGAGGATGGGGGAAGGCCAGTATCTCAGTTGGTTGGGTAGAATGTCAAATGGATGCCCTTTGGCCATTTTCATCATTTCATCATTTCACCCAAAGGCATTTAAGATAAGGAGGACTATGATCAAAGGTGTCTTTTCTCCCAAGAGCCTGGGGTGGAATGATCCAGGGCCTGCGTGAGAAATGAGCTACACCTATATGCAACCTCATACCGCACATGAGATCCTGAATGGGACCAGACAAGGACATTATTGGGAAAACCAGCAAAGTCCAAATAAAGCTTGAAATGTAGCTAACTGTCAAATCCCAATGTTAGTTTAAGGGTTTTGGCCAATGTACCATGGCCATGGGAAAGGAAACCACAAGAACTATTGGGTCCAATGGTTAAGCCCTGACCCAAGAACCAGGCTGTTGCGGTTCAAATCCAGGTCAGGACACAGGTCCCAGTTGCCATCTCTATCCCAAAGGGGGGCATGCAGGAGGCAGCCGATAATGATTCTCTCTCATCATTGTTTCTATTTCTCTCGCCCTCTCCCTTCCACTCTCTGAAATCAATAAAAACATATTTTAAAAAAGGACTATTGGAATTATCTTGGCAACTTTTCTGCAAATCCATAATTATTCCAAAATAAGAAAAATGTATTTAATTTCATAATAATTTTTATTTTTATTTTTATTTTTTTAAATATATTTTATTGATTTTGTACAGAGAGGAAGGGAGAGAGATAGAAAGTTAGAAACATTGATGAGAGAGAGAGTCATCGACCAGCTGCCTCTTGCACACCCCCCACTGGGGATATGCCCGCAACCAAGGTACATGCCCTTGACCAGAATCGAACCCGGGACCTTTCAGTCCCTAAGCCGACGCTCTATCCATTGAGCCAAACCGGTTTCGGCTAATTTCATAATAATTTTTAGAAGCCACAGGTGAGAGCTAAGAGGCTGGAGAAAGTGGGGAGAGGGGCAGGTCCGGTGGGTGGAGGGCTGGAGAGGGGGAACAGGGAGACCAGATTGTAAATGCTGCTGAGGAAGGAGGTGGAGAGGAGGCTTGGCTTAGTCTGTAGGAAGCCAGAGGTCAAGCTCTGGCACTACAAGCACTTGGATGACGAGATGAGGATGTTGATGGAAGGATTAGGATCATAAAATCCTCAAACAGTTGGCCTGGACCCTGAGCCCTGGGCAATCGCTTTAGTTGGCAGGCAGAAAGGGGACTTTTTTTTTTTTTTTTTTTTTTAAATATATTTTCATGATTTTTTTACAGAGAGGAAGGGAGAGGGACAGAGAGATAGAAACATCGACTCGAGAGAACCATAGATCAGCTGCCTCTTGCGCACCCTTTACTGGGGATGTGTCCGCAACCAAGGTACATGCCCCTGACCAGAATCGAACCCGGGACCCTTCAGTCCACAGGCTGATGCTCTATCTACTAAGCCAAACCGGTTTCGGCTAGAAAGGGGACTTTTGAATCCATTTGTTTCAGAACAGTTGAGCAAATCAGTCTTCGGGGGTTTCTATAGATACCTGATGACACTGGATGATGGTAAAGCCAGGGATTGCAAACATCCGGTATTTGCTTGGCCTCCTCTCCCCAGCTCCTCTGTCCTCTGTCTGGATTATGAAAACCTGACAGACTCTACTGGGGGCCCAGGGTGCCAGCCACACTCACCCCTCAGGGTATTGTGTGTGAGTAAATGTGAAAACTGGGGGCTTCGTTTCATCCTGTAAAACCATTACTATCTAGTCAATCAGTGCTGAAGCCTCTTTTAAGAAATAGAGAAGACAGCTGAAACCGGTTTGGCTCAGTGGATGGAGCGTCGGTCTGTGGACTGAGGGGTCCCAGGTTCGATTCTGGTCGGGGGCATGTACCTTGGCTGCGGGCGCATCCTGGGTGGGGAGTGTGCAAGAGGCAGCTGATCAATGTTTCTAACTAGCTCTATCCCTCTCTCTTCCTCTCTGTAAAAAAATCAATAAAAATATATTTAAAAAAAAGAAATATAGAAGACAAAAATGCAGCTTCTAATCATTACCTATCTGGGAGCGAGCAGTGAGATCCCAGCGGCTGCCTTTCTGAGCCATCACAGCCAGCCTGTGTAAGGCCGAGTGCACAGCCGCAGGACTGCTGGGCTCCCACGGACTCTGCCTGCGACGCCCGCAGCAGGCCAGGCTCCGTGGCACACGAGCTTGGGACCTGCTCCCTCCGCTGCCCAGATGCTTTCCCGCGGGCTCAGCCCTGGCGCTGGCTGGCCGGACAGCCTTCCTCCTGGGCCCCAGGACGCGAAAAGGGTTGATGCAAAGCTGGTGTCACGTGGCCTCCAGGGGATGCCGCTGTGCGTGTGCAGAGGCTGCCCTCTGCTGGCTGGCTGGCGGCTCTAACATTGCCGGGCTCCGCGCTTCTACTCAACTTCCAGGCCAAGTTGCATCAGCCTGGGGAGAGGCGGGGGGAGGGCGGGGGAGGGGTGTGTGTGTGTCAATGAGAGTGAGGTTTGGCCGGATGAAGTAGGCTCACTGCTAAACCAAAGCGCTGTTGGGAGGGTGTAGGTGGTGGGGTGAAGCTTACCTCTCAGGCTCCTTTCTCATTGCTGTGGGAACTGTGTCCACAGCCCGTACACATCCCTGGCACCCATTAGAACCAAGGTGCTGCTCAGCACTAGGAAAGAAGCTCCCGCTGCTGTTGCTGAGCCCAGGCCCTGAGGTCTGACCCTCTTTGCCCACGCCCTTGGCCCAAGAAAGGGTCCGGTCTACTCCACCCTAGCCACCTGGACCCGGACCAAAGTGGTTTCACATTAAGAGAAAATAAGACATCGCCTTAACTGGTTTGGCTCAGTGGGTAGAGCGTCCGCCTGCGGACTGAAGGGTCCCAGGTTCCATTCCTGTCAAGGGCATGTACCTTGGTTGTGGGCACATCCCCAGTAGGGGGTGTGCAGGAGGCGGCTGATTGATGTTTCTCTCTCATTGATGTTTCTGACTTTCTATCCCTCTCCCTTTCTCTCTGTAAAAAATTCAATAAAATGTATTGAGAGAGAGTGAGAGAGAGAGAGAGAGAGAGAGAATGAGACATCATTGTCAACTGAAGTATATTGTCACAAAGAAATGCAGACCTCTTCCCAGATATTGGGCCTGGGTTAAAGGATAGAAATGGGAGGGTGGGGATGCTCACTTCACCAAGTACCTGATGTTAACGTAAAAAAACACTGAAACCTGTAAAGAATTTTTGTGCGTTTATTTGAGCCAAACTGTCGACGTGTGCCGGGAAGCAGAACCTCAACGAATTGAGATAATGCTCCGGGGAGAATGGCAGGTTCCATCTGTATTTATACATTGCAATCAAAGGAAAGGGACCTACGTGGGTTACCTGAAATCTATTGGTGATAGATTAAGGAGTTGGGATAAAGCAAAGCCAGGGAACCTCTGGGGTAGGGTAAAAAGTGAAATGATGGACTTATGCTTCTTTTACATAGAGGGGATGCAGGGTAGTTTTACATAATGAACAGTTGACAATAAACCTGATAACAATAACAATGAGGGAATGTCCTGGTGCCATTTGTTTGCCCTGAGGGGTTCGGAAAAAAGGGAAGTTACCCATACGTATCTCAGATATATTATCTTAGACACAAAAAGACCTTTGAGCTCAGTAAAGATCTAAGTTGATCTTTGTCAGGGAAAATACTGGCCAAGGACATGATTACCCACCATAGCCTGTTTGTAGTTAAATGTTTAATTTTCAGACCATCTTTTGTGGCTATGTGAGGTCTCTGAGTTTGCAAGACTGCCATGTAGGCCTTCCCTGAGCCTGTCCGGTTAGCATGCGGCCCTTTTTGTCCATGCTGGTAATTTTTTAAAAAAATATTTTTTTATTGATTTTTTACATGGAGGAAGAAACATCGATGAGCGAGAATCATCAATCAGCTGCCTCTTGCACACCCCCTACTTTATGTGCCGGCAACAAAGGTATCGATACATGCCCTTGACCGGAATTGAACCTGGGACCTTTCAGTCCGCAGGCTGACGCTCTACCACTGAGCCAAACCGGTTTCGGCTAGTAATTTTTTTTTTTTTAAGAACAATTCAGCAAATTAAGTTTTGGTTTATTGTTGGACAACATTGCTTCACACATACATCAAACAGGTCGAAATAAATAAACAAACAGACAGCAACTTCATGGACAAAAAAAACCACAAAGATACTTTTTATCTTTGGCCTTCTTAACCATCTCATACAGACCAACCACTAATAGTACAGCTACTTAAGTACACAAAAAGTTACTGGAATGCTCGGAATAAGATAGTTTTGTTGTTGTTTCTGCTCTTCTTACAAGGTTTTTAATTTTTTTCTCCTTTGAAATTATAATGGTCACACCACCAAGTAAAGTCAGAAGTAGGACAAAAAAAACTTCAAAGGCTGATTTCGTCATCCCAAGATCATTAACAATGTCTGACCCCTAAAAATATGAACAAAAGTATAAAATATAAATAAAAAATACAAAATTTTCTTTTAAAGCACTTTTTAAAAAATAATGTTTTCATTGCTTTCAGAGAGGAAGAGAGAGAGAGACAGAGTTAGAAACACCAATGATGAGAGAGAATCATTGATTGACTGCCTCCTGGGCACCGAGTCCACAACCCAAGCATTTGCCCTTGACTGGAATCAAACCCAGGACCTTTTTTTTTTTTTAAATGTGTTTATTGATTTTCCACAGAGAGAAAGGGAGAGGCATAGAGAGCTAGAAATGTCGATGAGAGAGAAACATCGACCAGCTGCCTCCTGCACAACCCCTACCAGGGATGTACCCGAAACCAAGGTGCATGCCCTTGACCGGAATCGAACCTGGGACCTTTCAGTCTACAGCACATGTGTCAAACACAAGGCCCGCGGGCCAAATCCGTCCCGCCAGGCCTTGCAATGTGGCTCGCACCGCGCTATCATCACTGCACTCCGCTGCATTTCCATCACAATGACAGTTTATGACTGTTCAGTAAACCATTCGGCCCGCGATT